TGTTACGACCCTGGTCTAGGGTCAGGGAAAATAACATAAATAAAGAAGTCTGAAACCGCTGTTACCTTTGTGTTGGTGAATTTATTTTTCCTTTTTAAGTCTCATTTGTAGCATCACCGTAAACAGGCTATCCCTTCGGGATTGGGCAAGGCCAAAACAACAAACAAAACATATCACTAACTGTTTCCAGGACTCTAATTAGTCTATGTGAAAGAAAAGGAAACAAAATGACAGGGTTCTTCCCTAACTCCCTATCTAACACAAAAACAGGAAAGAACGATATTACAATAAAGAAAACCGGCACCCAATCCCTACAGCCTTCATGGTGGAGAGACACGCTATTCACAATATTTACAAAATACAGAAGAATAGCGGCATACTCGCCAACTTAACTTAACAGGGATGACAAGGAAAGAAAATTAACTAGATAACTTTAAACAACAAAACAGTAGGTAACATAAAATAATAAAGGACTAAGAAATCACGAGAATGCACAACAAGATTCTCAACACCAAGAAAGAAAAGCCCCACGCTAGGCTATAACGCGACGTAATGCACAACACTACCAACAGCTCTACTCTCTCTCTCTGGCTTCCGCCTCCTCCGGTCTCACTATTTCAAAAGATGCTGGATCTCCAGGGACGAATCAGCAGATGCGTCTTTTACGTCCAATTAGGGCGGAGTCACCTAAGAGAGAGAGAGAGAGCGAGAGAGAGAGAGAGAGAAACTACGTCCCCAGACGTAACATCCCCACCCATAAAAGTCAAAACAATTTGACAACATTTAATCTCCAATATAAACACGAGAGAGAGAGTCCGCAAGTATATTTTCACTACCCTTTTTATAGCGTATGTCAAGGTTGAACCCTTGGACCATTAGTGACCACCTCATCAACCTTTGATTTGCATTCGCCATACGTGAGAGAAAAGTCAATGGATTGTGGTCTGTATAAACCACTACAGGTAAAGTACTACCTCCAACATAAACTTCAAAGTGCTGAAGTGCTAGAATTAAGGCTAAAGCTTCCTTTTCAATCGTACTGTAGTTGCGCTGTGCCCGGATAAATTTTCTGGAGAAATAAGCCACAGGGTGATCAATTCCGTTATCACTTTCCTGCAGCAATACCGCCCCGGCCCCAACAGCACTTGCATCCACTTCCAATTTGAAACGACGAGAGAAGTCAGGGGCAGAGAGTACGGGGGCATTACACATCAGATCCTTTGCAGCATGGAATGCAACCTCACACTCCGCATCCCAACAAAAAACTCCAGATGAACTCAACAAATCGGTAAGGGGAGACACAACTATAGCAAAATTCTTGCAAAACCCCCTATAATAGCCCACCATCCCTAAAGACAAATTCATCACCCGAGACGGCGGCAGCAGAGAGAGACGTCACCATTCGTTTATTTAAGTGAACCACCAGAGTTTCAGGAACACATCTTTTAAAATCTTCTAACAGAATTAACTCTTTTAGATCTTCGAAAGTAGAGACTTTACTTGCTGCACACCATTTATCAAAAAGAGTTTGTTTCTCTCTCGCAAACTCCACAAAGGTTTGTTTGTCTGTTTTCAAATGGGCTCTAAATCTCTGTCTGTACGCTTCAGGTACTAACTCGTAAGCACGTAAAACAGTTGTTTTAATCTCGTCATAGTCAAGACTTTTTTCCACCGGCAATGCTGAACAAACCTCCTGCGCTTTTCCAACCAATTTACACTGCAATAGCAGAGACCACATCTCTTTAGGCCATTGCAACGCAGCGGCCACACATTCAAAAGCCGTGAAATACGAGTCCACCTTCGCTTCTCTAAAGGAAGGTACTAAATTAATGTGCTTGCTTACGTCAAACACGGGAAACACATTCCCATCAGGAATAGGAGGATGATAAGCAGAAGCAGGTGCAGGACCTGAGGGCAGCCGAGCGAAAGACATAGAGGGAGTACGTTCCGAATAGGAAGTCGGAGCAGGACATATCGAAGAAAGAGAGAGAGAGAGAGAGAGAGAGAGAGAGAGAGAGAGAGAAACTACGTCCCCGGACGTAACATAATAAATACTCCAATATTGTGATTAAATTCTATTTCGATTATGCTTTCATTAATATTAATTTAATGAATGGCAATAAATATTACTGTAGTGATTTTGCTCTGCTCTTCTAAATGATTTTGATTTTACAAATATTTTGGAAATAAATGCTAATAAATACTATTAATACTAATAATATTATTTTGATAAATAATATTATAATTATGCTTTCATAAAAAAATATTGCAATAAATACTAACAAATACTACTGTAATAATATTGCACTGTTTAATACTACATTATGCTTTCACATAATTATTACGGCACTAATATTAATTCAATATTTATGTGTTTAGCTTCTATTTTAACAGTGTTTAAAATCATTTATATAATCCACATAACAATATATGTAAGGCGAAAAAAGTGGCTTCTCATCACTTTATTGAAGAAATGATTGTCAGATTAAACATTGCATTAAATCATGAATGAATGAGATTTGATATTGGTTGTGCAGACTCTTCTTAAGAACGTTTCTAAGGAGTCGTGCACTTAATATGCACAGGTGTAAATGAGGCTTTTGAATTGACACACACACACACACACACACACACACACACACACTCTCAC